TGACGTTATTAGCCATGTCTGGGCCCAAACTCTGCTGCAGGTCCCTGAGTCACACAATCACAGCAGCATCACTGAAGCCTTTCATCTTTAATAAAATGATCAGCGTTCTGCTCTACCAGGTGTAACAATTAAGTTTAACATCCAGGCATCCATGAAAACGGAATTTATTAAATTTAACGGAGATGAAGTTAGCAGGAAGTTAGCTCGCTAGCTTCCACCTAAACATGATATAGCATGTTCTGACTGAGAGATTTCTGAAAGAATTCAAACGTACAGCTCTGCTATTACTTCCAACACAAATGAAGACAGAAAACTAAACAGCAGTGACGTTTGTTGGGTTACTGAAGTTGGGCTACCTGGTATATAATGATCATGTGCTACGTGATCGCTAGCGCGACAAAGTTATGTTAACATAACATAAACAGTGAAGCTGGAGGATGAACGCTAACTTTTTTCCACTCGATAAAAGTTAACGTGAGGGTTCCTGATGGTTAGGGACAAATGCAATCGCATAGCAGGATGCTGTAAACGGACCAAACGTCAGTCAGGAGAACAACTGAGATAATCCATCATTAGTCATTAATATACCGCAGCATGGGCTAGGCTGTAGTTACATCGTAAGGGTTTAAAAACTGAGCTTTAAAATGATGAGCGGTAATAAAAACCGAGAGAGGTCGACAGCGATCACTGACTGTTTTTAGGGGCTTGTTGAGATTAAATAGAACAAGATACAAAGCATTAAAACATGTTAAAAACACAACAACCTTCTTAAATGCAGACTACTTTGGGCCCGGAAGCAGAATTCGTCACGTCATCACTTAAAGACCGGATAGAAAATCTGTGGAGGCTGAAACTTCGAGATGAGCAGCAGCCAAGAAACCTCAATGATTTTGAGTTTCTGTAAAGAGGAGTGCATTAAAATCCCTCCTGAGATGTGTGCAACAAACGTCTTAACACTGGCTAGAAACAGTTTCAAACCAAGCACTAAGTCATGTTTTGCTTGGGCATCAAATACTTATTTCATTTAATGCATTTTTAATTTTATGTGTTTTTCTACATTGTTGCTTCTCTCCATTTAAAAGGAAGCTACCATAAGAGTTAGACATGTAGGACTGCTTTCATTTATTTGCACAATGTCACAAAATTATTCATGTCAGTCTCAGAGTAAAGCTAGCTAATGCATTTATTACTTCTAGGCTGGACGTATATGATCCATTATAATCTGGCAGCTCTAAAAACTCCTTTAGCTTAACCAGAAGCTGGAAACAGAGAGCACTGGGTCCCCATTAAACCCAGAATCAAATTTAAAATCCTTCTCCTCACATACAAAGTCTTGAATATCATAGCAGAGCCTTCGGCTTTCAGGTGCCTCTACTATGAAACCAGGTCCCAGTTTGGACTGGACAGAATCCAAAGTGCACAAGAGAGATGAAGAAGAGAGTGTAGGCAGGGTGGAGTGGCTGGAGATGAGTGTCAGGGAGGATTTGTGACAGAAGGAAAGCAGAAAGAGTGAAAGGGAAGGTTTACAAGTGATGGTTTGGAGACAGTAGTACTGGGAATAAGACAGAAGGTCGATCTGGAGGTGGCAGATGTTACGGTCTGGAGTCTGCTTCTTGTATAGTGGTTTTCTACTCTGTGAGCATTTAAAGCACTCAATCACACAAGCACTTTCTGCTGTATCTATTATTGTACGATCTAGATAGATAAACGCCTTGAGGTGGCTTTTGTTGTGATTTGGCACTATATAAATAAAGTTGAATTGAATTGTTTTCTACCCAACATTCATACTCTGATGGATGCATCGGGGAGCAACTTGAAGTTCGTACCTTGCCCAAGGATATTTGGCATATAGACAGGGATCAAACTACTGCGCTACAGCCATCCTGCCAGTGACCGGATGGACAGGATTATAAATGATCACATCACAAAGCCAGCTTGAGTTAGGCCAGTGGTTCCCAAACTTTTTTTGCTAGGCCCCCCTTTGTTTCACAAGGAAAATGTTCGCACCCCCCCACCACGCAAACACATCCTCCAACCACACACGCCCATATTTTGCTCCATTGCAGTTTATTTCACACCTCAAACTTATTGTAAACAATTAAGCAGATAAAAGTAAACTGCAATAAATTACAGGTAGTAATAGAATAAACTACTAACTCTTTTACGCTACGTCCGCACCTACACAGGTGATTTTGAACACGCAGCTGTTTCGTCCACGTAAACGGCGTTTCGAATCATCGAAAACAGATTTTTTTAAAACTCCTTTTTTGCGTTTACGTGTGGATGAGGAATACAGAGTTGGTCACGCAACGTCAAAGGTATGTGCCTTTATTCACGTCACGCTGTGGCCACGTTATTGTTTACATGGGATGAGTTGCAGAATGATAGAGACGAAATGCTGTTAATCTGACTGTCTGCAGGTTTTACACACAGTTACTGTCCCTCCATTTACAAAGGCAGAGGCGTCACAGTGTCATTATTTTACCTGTAGTTGTTTTTTCCTGTGTAATAATGTTCAACATTGCTGTCAATACATTTTAAAAAAATGTCTCTCTGTGCAAAATGGGTTTAAAAACATAAACAGCTGTGAGATCCTGTTTGTCCGTGATTTGAACCGGGGAACAAATCGTGGCAGGATCAGCCTGATGTTATTTGTATCCCGCTGTAACTTTACTGTATAAAGAGCAAACATCTCCAACATGTCAGGAGTAGTGAGTCATTACAAAAAGTGTTTGTGAACTAAAAATCAAGAATGTGGGATCCTGTTTGTCCGTGATCTGGAGAGCCCAGCGCTGCTTCCGACAGGGAAAACTAATTCTGTCACAGAGACCTACCTTGGCACATCTCCTGCTTTGCGTTTGTGTGGGAGCCCCGTCAAAAACCTGTCCATGATGCTAGCAGTGTCCAAGCGTTTGTTTTTTTTGTTTGTTTGCTTTTTCACACCACGCCCCCCCTGCAATGGCTCTGCGCCCCCTAGGGGGCGGGCCCCACACTTTGGGAACCTCTGAGTTAGGCAGTTTGGAGACAAAGTTAGAGAGACAAGGTGGAGATGGTTTGGAGATGTGCAGAGGAAGGACACTGGAAATACTGGACAAAGGATGCCAGGCAGGAGGAAAAGAGGAAGCTGAGAGAAGATTCATGGATGTAGTGAAGCAGACGTCTGTGACGATAGAGTGAGGCAAATGATCCTCTGTGGCGAGCCCCGAAGAGAGCAGCTGGAAGAAGAACGCTATTCTCTCGGTCTCTCACACACACACACACACACACACACACACACACACACACTCACTGGGGGATTGCTATCATCGTGACTGTGGCAGCCGAGCCACATTCAGCACAGACGCACAAACGCATCCTCATTAGCTTGTAGAAGTGTGTGTGTGTGTGTGTGTGTGTGTGTGTGTGTGTGTGTTTGTGTGTGTGTATTTGATAATTACAATAAAAAAAAAACTTTTTTTCCCTGACAAACATTATTGGATGTATGTAGATTTTGCTTCAAGACCTCATAAAGTATCTGAAAATGTCATTAATGGTCTCCAGTAACACAAGCAAACAAGGAATGAATTTGTTTTATACGCTGTGCAAAGGCTGACTCAAAATTGCGTGTGTGTGTGTGTGTGTGTGTGTGTGTGTGTGTGTGTGTGTGTGTGTGTGTGTGTGTGTGTGTGTGTGTGTGTGAGTGGCTTTGTTTGATTGCTGTTGAAACACCAAAGATCAAACTCAGTCGGAGATGAAAGTGCTCGTCTCTCAGCCTGATGTTAGTCATCTGTATCCAGATTCATGAAATGCTTCTCACAGCTCAGGTCCAGAATAAAAGGACACATTTTGCTTGACGTTGAACAGATTTACTAATAAAGCAGCCGGTGTTTAGCTATTATAAATATTAATAAGTTATAATGGGCTATAGTAAGTATTGTGCTGTTAAATGCTGCCTCCTCATGGCCAAAGGTGCAATTTTGAGTCAGCCTTTGCACAGCGTATAAAACAAATTCATTCCTTGTTTGCTTGTGTTACTGGAGACCATTAATGACATTTTCAGATACTTTATGAGGTCTTGAAGCAAAATCTACATACATCCAATAATGTTTGTCAGGGGAAAAAAGTTTTTTTTTTTATTGTAATTATCAAATATTAAATGCTTTTAAAGAGGCAGGAAAAAACTAACTGGTCAAATGCAGCATAGCTGAGCATGAGCTGTGTTTCACGCTCCACACCTGTTCTTTGTATAATTATTTAATTTTCACTGAGCTGAAAAACAGTCTGTGTGTTAGCTGGAAGTGCAAAAGAAAATCGATAGTCATAATATTTGTCAGGTAAATGTAAAAGAATGGTCCAACCACACAAACACAGTCAGAAGGTCCAGCTTAGACACTCTGGTCATGTTTGTGCATTTAAGATTTACAGGTATTCAATTCAGTTTTATTTACACAGCGCCAAATCACAACAACAGTCGCCACAAGGTGCTTTATAATGTAAGGTAAACCCTACAATAATAGATACAGAGAAAAACCCAACAATCATGTGACCCCCTATGAGCAGCACTTTGGCGACAGTGGGAAGGAAAATCTCCCTTTTAACAGGAAGAAACCTCCAGCAGAACCAGGCTCAGGGAGGGGCGGGGCCATCTGCTGCGACCGGTTGGGGAGAGAACAAATGCTCTCAAAGGTTGGGGAGAGGTTGAGAGGTATTGAAATAGATACAGTAAGTTAGTCATTGTTATAACGTATCTTCTGCAGAGCCGTTTGAAGGCAGAGAAGTGTAAAAATGGAACTGTTTTGCCCATTTTTCAAATCTCACATAGACTCATTGTAACATTGTAACGTGTCTTTTATCCTTATCCATGATTTTTATTTATTCTTTATCTGTAACTGATAAAGTTTAGGTTCTTTTGCAGGTTGAAATTTATATAAGTGTAGGTCAGCATCAGCCGTAGAAATCCTGTGTGTCATGAGCGCTCCTGCAGGCTGGTTAATTACAGTAACTGGTGCTTTGTTGTGCAGGAGAACCCAGAGCGTGGGCCACGAACCCCTGAGGAGACAAGGCTCTTCCACCACCAGCCGGCCCCCTCAGCCCCTCTCCGCCCAGGCCATCAAACACATCTGGGTCCGCACGGCTCTCTTCGAGAAAGTTCTGGACAAGATTGTGCAGTACATTGTGGACAACTGCAGGTGAGTTTGTTTTACTGTCTGGTGTTGCACTGTGGTGACTCACAGCAACCTACTCCAGGCTTTGTTGTACCTGAATAAATGATCTATTTATGCGGCCCATTCTTCTCCTGTGTTTGCTTTGTTCTGCGTTCTGTCTGGCTAACAACCACTGTGTGTTTCGACAAGCTGTCCACACACTGCAATTCACTGATCAAAGCTTCAGACATGAAGTGCACTGATGGGGTTCACAAACATGGCAACGGTTATCAGACAACCCTAAACAAGACTTGTGCGGTTTTGCTGTTGTATAGTTCCTGTTAAAAGCTGGGCAAATATTGTAAAGTCGGCGTTGTGTTCAGACAGCTGCAGCGGAGGTGATCTAATCTGATGTAAGACGCCCACGGTGAATGTCAAGGCCTCAGAAGTCCGTCAGAAGTAAAGAGCATCAAACAGCAACCTTAGTAAACCTTTATTCTGGCCTTTGTTGTGAAGCCTGCAGACCTCAGTGCTCTTCTCACTGTGCTTACAGGTTTCACTGGGCCTAACATCACACATACTGGGAAACAATATTGTTTCAGACGCGATGAGTGTTGGGGGTTTAGCTGTATAGGACATCCTAGCTGCTGATGCGTAAACTTATTATCCTTCCTCGTCCTTATTGGGAGGGAAGTAGAGATTTTTAATTTAACGCTGGTGTTGGATCAGCTCTCAGTATTGACAGATGCCTGAAGCCAGGGTATATTTATTTTATCGGGGATGCATCCTTAATGCACAGGCATATCTTCAACCTTTGAGAAATCACAGCACTTGGAAATAATGTGCGCGTGAATCAGCCGTCCAACCTTAACCGTCACGGTGAAGCACTCGGCCAGCGCTAATACACAGAAACGAGCCCATCAGTGATTCTTCTACTCACTCGGTCCTCTGGGTGTGCTGCTGCATTCATCATGTGCATAAAGTGTCACTGCAGCTTCTATACACTTACAGCAATCACACTGTTGAGTCAAGTGAAGGGGATAATGGGTGTGATCTCCTACACTTGGAGTATTTGATCACTTTTAAAGATGAACTGAGCAAACAATTGGTGCTTTGTCCATTTATGCTGTTTGATATTATCTTGGGTTTGCCAGACTTTTCTCTGACCTGCTCCCTGCCACATCCTGCGATCTGTTACGCCCCCTGTACGTCTACCTGTGCATTAGGCGGTGGCTCTAACCTGATGTTGAAATGCTTATCCTTAAATGTAGTCTTAATTTGTAATGAAGGTGGTGAGCTCAGATTGTATCTGTGGCAAAACCATTTCTGCTGCATGTTCTCTGCCACGCTCCTCGGGTGAAGTAGAACTCACTGTGTCATCCTGGAGGACAGAGTCATGGTGAACTCCCACAGAAACTACTGGGAACTGCTCACTCAGAGCGCTCTGTGGAAGTTTGGTGTTATTCAAATACAAGGTCACATTGTAGCTACAGTGGGGCAAAAAAGTATTTAGTCAGCCACCGATTGTGCAAGTTCCCCCACCTAAAATGATGACAGAGGTCAGTAATTTGCACCAGAGGTACACTTCAACTGTGAGAGACAGAATGTGAAAAAAAAATCCATGAATCCACATGGTAGGATTTGTAAAGAATTTATTGGTAAATCAGGGTGGAAAATAAGTATTTGGTCAATAACAAAAATACAACTCAATACTTTGTAACATAACCTTTGTTGGCAATAACAGAGGTCAAACGTTTACTATAGGTCTTTACCAGGTTTGCACACACAGTAGCTGGTATTTTGGCCCATTCCTCCATGCAGATCTTCTCGAGAGCAGTGATGTTTTGGGGCTGTCGCCGAGCAACACGGACTTTCAACTCCCGCCACAGATTTTCTATGGGGTTGAGGTCTGGAGACTGGCTAGGCCACTCCAGGACTTTCAAATGCTTCTTACGGAGCCACTCCTTTGTTGCCCGGGCGGTGTGTTTTGGATCATTGTCATGTTGGAAGACCCAGCCTCGTTTCATCTTCAAAGTTCTCACTGATGGAAGGAGGTTTTGGCTCAAAATCTCACGATACATGGCCCCATTCATTCTGTCCTTAACACGGATCAGTCGTCCTGTCCCCTTGGCAGAAAAACAGCCCCATAGCATGATGTTTCCACCCCCATGCTTCACAGTAGGTATGGTGTTCTTGGGATGCAACTCAGTATTCTTCTTCCTCCAAACACGACGAGTTGAGTTTATACCAAAAAGTTCTACTTTGGTTTCATCTGACCACATGACATTCTCCCAATCCTCTGCTGTATCATCCATGTGCTCTCTGGCAAACTTCAGACGGGCCTGGACATGCACTGGCTTCAGCAGCGGAACACGTCTGGCACTGCGGGATTTGATTCCCTGCCGTTGTAGTGTGTTACTGATGGTGACCTTTGTTACTTTGGTCCCAGCTCTCTGCAGGTCATTCACCAGGTCCCCCCGTGTGGTTCTGGGATCTTTGCTCACCGTTCTCATGATCATTTTGACCCCACGGGATGAGATCTTGCGTGGAGCCCCAGATCGAGGGAGATTATCAGTGGTCTTGTATGTCTTCCATTTTCTGATGATTGCTCCCACAGTTGATTTTTTCACACCAAGCTGCTTGCCTATTGTAGATTCACTCTTCCCAGTCTGGTGCAGGTCTACAATACTTTTCCTGGTGTCCTTCCAAAGCTCTTTGGTCTTGGCCATGGCGGAGTTTGGAGTCTGACTGTTTGAGGCTGTGGACAGGTGTCTTTTATACAGATGATGAGTTCAAACAGGTGCCATTCATACAGGTAACGAGTGGGGGACAGAAAAGCTTCTTACAGAAAACGTTACAGGTCTGTGAGAGCCAGAGATTTTCCTTGTTTGAGCTGACCAAATACTTATTTTCCACCCTAATTTATGAATAAATTCTTTACAAATCCTACCATGTGGATTGATGGATTTTTTTTTCACATTCTGTCTCTCACAGTTGAAGTGTACCTCTGGTGCAAATTACTGACCTCTGTCATCATTTTAGGTGGGGGAACTTGCACAATCGGTGGCTGACTAAATACTTTTTTGCCCCACTGTATTCAGCATGAGTTACCACGGTGATTTACACTGGAGCCAGCCAGAAACCACATCTTCTTAACCCATGTGATGGATCTGTGATGTAATGCAGCCACTACATATGAGTGAGGGGTGGTGATGTAATCAGGCAGGTGTGTCATCTGAGTTTCTAGCATGCGTTGCTGAATCCTTGCCTGTTCTTGGATAGTTGACAGATCATACTTTAACCTTTAACCTGCACTCATCACCTCCAAACTGATCATATCTAGTGACGTGTTTCTTTCTTCTCTGTGTTTCTGACGGCAGTAAATACTATGAGAGGGAAGCTCTGATGCATGACTCAGTCTTTGGGCCCATCTTGGCAGCCCTACTAGGTGAGTATGTTAATGTATTTAATCACCAGAGGCCAGTAAAAAAGCATGCACAGCTGATCATCCAGGTGATTGTTCATATATTCATTTAAATTTGCAAACAAATACACAAGACAGCATTTTCATAACTGTTTGGAATTGGACAGCAGGCAGAGACTCGGAATCAGAGACACCGGGCAGTCAGACAGGAACAGGAAGCAAACAGCTTTGCCAGCTTGAGCAAACTAGAAAAAGTTAACTGCGAGACAGACTGGTGAAGAGAAAATAAACACTTTATCATCTCTGACTAAAGAGGGAGTTCGGGACACTGATGAGGCAGATAATGAGTGCTGATGAGGGGCGGAGCAGAGTATAGTCATGAACAGCTGGGACAGAGACGCACATTAATGTGTCCAAACACCTGCTGCATATTTGCTCCGCGCTGACAGAAAGAAAGAACTGAAACCATTTATGTAATGTATATGCATTCATATGGCACTTTTCTAGTCTGACCATTTAAAGTTCTTTAGACTGCTGCAAGCCATATTTTTGGTGTTATTGTACCATTGATATTATTAGATTACTGATATGTAAAAGAAAAAAAAGTCCCGTACACAGGTATAAATACTGTTTGTCCACACAGGCTTTACTTGGAATGCAGCACAGGTGCATTTGGAAACTTACAGAATTTTCCGTACTATAAGGCGCACTTAAAATCCTTTAATTTTCTCAAAAATCGACAGTGCGCCTTATAATCCGGTGCATCTTATGTATGAATTCTGGTTGTGCTTAATAATAATAATAATGGATTGCATTTATATAGCGCTTTTCAAGGCACCCAAAGCGCTTTACAAAGCCACCATTCATTCACTCTCGCATTCACGCACTGGTGGAGGCAGCTACAGTTGTAGCCACAGCTGCCCTGGGGCACTGACAGTCTGCATTAGCATTAGCTACACAGCTATGTTAGCATAGCATAAATACAGTGAAGCAGGAGGATGAACGCTAACTTTTTTCCACTCGTTAACGTGAGGGTTCCTGATGGTTAGAGACAAATACAGTCGCATGGCAGGATGCTGTAAACGGACCAAACGTCAGTCAGGAGAACAACTGAGATAATCCATCCACAATACGAGGTTAGTCATTACTATACTGCAACAACATGGGAACAGAGCAGCTGTGATAGAATACAGCATTAATGAATCAATGGTACAGAAGTGGCGGAAGCAAGAAGAATGAGTTGAATAAAGTTTGACTTTTCTGACTGCTTTGTTTCGCTTAATGAGCCTTATGGTCCGAAAAATACGGTACATTTGTGCCACACTGTTTTATCTACTAAGGTTGCCGGTTCGAGCCCCGGCTTGGACAGTCTCGGTCGTTGTGTCCTTGGGCAAGACACTTCACCCGTTGCCTACTGGTGGTGGTCAGAGGGCCCGGTGGCGCCAGTGTCCGGCAGCCTCGCCTCTGTCAGTGCGCCCCAGGGTGGCTGTGGCTACAATGTAGCTGCCATCACCAGTGTGTGAATGTGTGTGTGAATGTGTGGATGTCTGGTTGTGTAAAGTGCTTTGGGGTCCTTAGGGACTAGAAAAGCACTATACAAATACAGGCCATTTTACTAGTGAACCATTGTGATGACCTGGTGAAATATGCAGGGTCGAGCCCATCTCTCACTACATGCCAGCCCTGATTTACTTTGGACAGGAGGACAGGATTATACAATATTGTTAGCAATGAAGAATCCTCTCTAATATTGTTATTTGATCAAAATTCAATCAAGAATTCGAATACGTGCACACAGGAGCATGTCGTAGATACGCTGCAGGTTTTCCATCACATATACAGAAATGAGCAACATCAAATGTTTGCTTAAAGACCGTGTATGTGTGTGCTGTCTTTTTAGTGGGGCCGTGTGCTCTGGAGTACACGAAGCTGAAGACTTCGGATCATTTCTGGACAGACCCCTCAGCCAATGAGCTGGTTCAGCGCCATCGTATTCACGGGGCCCACCGCGGCCAGGACGTCTTAGCCGGCCACCGGCCTGCTCTGGGGGTTAGTACGGGGCATCCTCAGGAGGTGTTGTTCTAAGGATAGATCATCGGCGTGTGTAGGATTGGTTTTCTCGTAGGAGTCGTTCGTTGTATAAACTGGCTGTTTGCTTCTTTTCTAGATCCGCAAAAGGCAGTCGAGCGGCAGCATGTCAGAGGACAGGTTTGCTGCATCAGCGAGGGAGTATGTGGAGTCTCTTCACCAAAACTCCAGAACGCACCTGCTCTATGGCAAAAATAATGTCCTTGTGCAACCGGTACATCTCACTGACACACAGTAACTTTGCTGTTTTTGTCCCATCATCCTCTGGAGTGCTTTCAGTTCCTCCACAGTCTCACAGCCCAGACATATAGTGACAATACTTGTACTTTGGTAAAGGGTCATATCTCAGTCCAGTCTCATATTGGATCCTACAGTTTTTCAAACAAGCCGCTGAGAGTGTGTCTTCACTTTGACCAAACTTTACATCCATCAAAAAAACCATAAAAACTTGATTTGTTGTGTTTTCTTTTGATTTATCCAAGCAGAAAGTTTGGATATATTCCTTTCTATTACTAGGACAAAGTCTGCTGCGTTATGGACTTTTTCTCTGCAGCACTGATTTTGTGTTGCACAGCTAATTCTGTCACACAGCAGTGTGCAACACAAGAAGACACTATGTCAAATATTGCAACATTATCAGCAAAGTAATATCTGCTAACACAGCACGACAGCTAGACTTTATGCTGCACGCTCACATGGAGCCTTGAAAACAAGTAAGAACCACATATCAGCAGCTTAATTAGACTCAAGTGCTGATGAAACGGGTGAAAAGAGATAAAGAAATAAATATAAGGCACAGGATGTGCTCATTTCAGTATGTTTCATCAAGTTTTAAAGTCAGTCTGTTCTGCTCTAATATAAAATCAGATGATTCAGCTCATGTTGGCTGAGTAAAGAACAAAGCAGTGACGGAAACAGCAGCTCTGGATGATCCGCGGCTATTTCCAGTCGTGTGACAGCGAGCTGTGTGTATCAGATGCATTTCACTACATTAGTGTGCGGCTGACGAATATAAGCAAGAGGAGGGGAAACGCAAATGTAAGGATGTAACACTTTAATGTCCCACGAGAAATCAATCGTAACAGTTGAGGAACGATAATGAAAAATACTCTTTGATTCTTTGTAAATCACAGTTACAGTTACAATGTTTCAAGACATGCTGAGCAGTTTCAGTCCCCCATACTGCTTTTTATTTCTTACACTAAGCTGTGTTTCATACATTCAATCGTACAAACACAGACAGTCTTAGAGCAGAATAAAATGAACTATGTCTATAGTGTGTGTGAGATATAATGTGACAGCTTAGAGCTTAGCTTTCTGAAAAAATCTTGGCATAAACTTTGATAAAGGTTGAAACTTTGTGTAGCTGTCAAAGGTTGCAGGGCTGTGTAGGCCCCGAAGCTGCTGCTTTTTTAGAATAGCAGCAGTAATCCTTGGAAGCCTACACACTGTACGTGCAGCGCCCACTCAGCTTGTCCTGCAGGCAGAGAGGACCCTAACGCAGGCCCCACAGGCTGACAGGATAAACAAAAGCAAACCTTTATTTAGGCAAAGTCCAGAAAGTCAGTATCCATAAAAAGAAACGGCAAACTAATCCTTCAACTGACAGCGAGCGCACCGGGAAACCACAGGACAGAGGGAGGAATAAGTCGTACACACACATGCAATCAAGGGAGGTAAAGCTGAATCCAAGATAAATGGGACAAAAAAGACCGGGGATAGAGGGGAGGAAGACTACATTTCAAATTCAAACCATAAAGAAACCAAACAGGAAACAGCTGTTATAAGAAAAACTCAAATCACAAGAATCCCAAAAAAAACCCCAAAACTCGCGTTGAAACCCTGAAGGTCCATCACCGAGCTGCTAAAAGCACAAGTAGTAGAACTGTGCTGCACAGTAGTGTGTGTGAGATCTCTGAAATCACATCTTGCTTCTGCCTGCGTTGCTCCAGCACGTTTGGCCCTGAGCACGTATGCCTCCCAAGATGCCTTTCTCCGAGCCCCGCTGACAGACATGCAGAGAAGTACAGCCCTCGCTGCACTGGTGTGCAAGAGCAGCTCTTTCATCGTGAGCTACCGATCGGCAATGACGTGAAAACCACAACAAGTGAAGCGACCTTGTTACAATGTGAGGGATGTGGATGTTACTCTGACATGTGACACCCACATGAACTCAGCCTGGTATCGTCCACATTTCTGATGATTGAAATTCCATCTACTGAACTGCGAACAGGACTGAAAATGTGTTAGCAAAGGGATCCTGGAATCGCAACTGAACATTAGCGCAGTTTGTTGGTCTAGGAGATACTTGAAGGCACACGAGTACTTCACAGAGATCACGAGGATAAATTCAGGCTTTTGATGTGGCTTAAATATAATTTTTAAACCTGGACCGTGTGACATCATCACACTTCCAACAAATTAGATTCAGAAAAGTGTGATGAGTAGATGACAATAAGAAAATAAAAGCTAGAGAAAGTCTGTGGGAATAAATGTCAGAGTTGGGCAATAAACAGTTTCCTTAGTTTAATAAATCAGAAACATGAATCAGTGGCTGATGAGCTCATCTTACTAACACCAGATTATCAGGGTGTGTTAAATAAATGCTGGGATCATAGAGCACACAGAGCTCAAAGCAGTTTCTGGTGCTGTGTGAAAAAAGTTTAATGCAAAAAACATCCTCGTAACTGCAGAATTAAGTTTTTATGTTGTCGACATCAGTGTGTACAGCGCAGACGCATTATGGTTTCTCTCTGCAGCTGATCACGTTCAGCAGTGCTGTGACCTCCACAGTAGTGCTGAGGAAAAGCATCTCATGTCACACGTTTGAGTAAAAGCGCTTTCTTCATCTTGGTGCTAACAATGTTCCATCTCCTCCTCTCCGCTTTACGTGGCAGAAGAAGGACATGGAGGTTTTACGGGGTTACTTGTCTCTCCATCAAGCGGGGGATAATCTCACGCTGAAGTGGACACCCAATCAGCTCATCAATGGCACACTGGGAGACTGCGACCTGGAGAAGAGGTAGCCCGAGTGTACGAACACATGAGCTAGCGTCTCAGAAATGAACAGTTTGAATGCATCAGATAAAGTCTGCTTGATACAAAAACAAATGTAGTAAAGAAATGCAGATGTGCGCACACACACGTTTGGCACGTCGCAGGCGGATTGTCGTGTCATGATTTTGTTGTAACAGACACACCTGAAGCAAACCTACAATATTCAGGTGTCACAGAAAGTGTTTCAGGAGGTTGTGCTGGTGTTGTTATTGGCTCACAGGTGAGTGAGAGCCTCGGCTTTGATAAATACCTGCGGCATGCATTTACAAACACACTGGTCAAGATCAGTTGGTAAATGATGTCTCGTGTTCTTCTTCACACGGCCGAGGGGCCACCCTGAGCTTATACACAGAGCTCTGCTTCACATAGATGCTGCTCTCTGTGGGAGACCTTCCAGAGATCAGTTTCACAGGAAACCTCATGACTGATTCATGTCTCGCTGATCTAAATTATCTTTCTACTTTCAGGGAGAAATACTAGATAGGTAGATATAGATATATATAGTTGTGCATCATCTATCTATGTATATATCTATGTATTAACAGATTAACCTAATATGTCTGCTCTCTGTTTTTGGACTGCATTTGCTATGATTGGGTCTACATGTGTGTTCCTGGGTTCATGCATCGTTTGTGGATCATCAGCAGATCGTTGTACTCCCGTCACTCTTATGTTACTAATCCAACACACGTGCTTCTCCTTTAGTATCTACTGGGATTACGCACTCACTGTTCCTCTGCGCCAGATAGTATGCATCCACTGTCACCAACGCTGTGAGTATACTGCTGCATTCAGTCCCACACACACACACACACACACACACACACAGTCTGTCACGTCAAATTTAGATCATGTCATGAAGAATCTGTTTCATGATGTCACTGATCATGACAAAGTATACACAGAGAATCCCTCTCCTCCTTTTCCTCCTTTTCCATTTCTTACATGCACAAACCTTCAGTTTCTTTTTACAGTATCACAGTTTATGTCTTGTCCACTATTAGAAGACAGTATTTGATCCACTTTGTTCTTTTCTTTGCCTGTTCATATTCCAGCTGACTGTGGGGGGACACTGGTTCTGGTCAGTCAGGATGGGATCCAGCGGCCACCCCTGCACTTTCCCCCTGGTGGTCACCTGCTGGCCTTTCTCTCCTGTCTAGAAACGGGCCTGTTACCACGGGCCAGTTGGAGCCGCCTCTCTGGTCCCAAAAAGGAAAGGTAATAGCATGATTCAGGTAACAAATGAAGATCATAAAACACTAAAATAAAATAAAGCACAGTGAAGTGCTGTCAGACTGTAGTTATAGGACCTACAACCTACAGAGTGAATCTAACTTTGAGACAAGACCAAAAACTCAGAGTTGAAACTTTGTGCAGGTGATGAGATGATGCTGTGACCAATAAACAGTTTTTACATCCAGCACTTATATTTTGAGGCTCCTTAGACTGCTGATGTCATGAAATGGTATCAATACATAAAGCCCGATACAGCAGATATGTGTAGAATCGAAACCTCTAAACTGTGAAGGAATCTCAAATTTTATATTTAACTAAAGTTCGTCACCATCAACATAAAAACTCAGCTGCCCTGCGTCAAAAAGTAGTCCCCCCTCAAACCTAATAACTGGTTCTCCACCCTTAGCAGCAACAACTGCAATCAAGTATGTGACAGAACTTTACTGCTTCACAAAGAAGAGCAGCTTTGGACTTTTATTCCTTAATAAATGAAATCACTACATGTTGTATTTACTCGGGTTGAAACGGTGGGACAAACGTGCAAGAAGCCCAGGACTTAGACTGCTCCAGATTCGATTTTTCTGTCTACTCGTGGCTCTTTTACATCAGTGATATCTATAATATGAGCACAACCCCCTAACCCACCTGCAAGTCAGATGGCACGTTTGTAAAACCAGCCAATCAGAAGAATGGTGGCATAGTCAGTTAAAACAGCTGTTTTAGACAACAGATGAACCAAAGGTCTTAACCCAGGCGGCTCAGTGTTGGAGAATCCCACAAAGCTCATTTAAGAGCGTCCCATTAAACCTGTTTAAGTTGTGTCTTTGACCTGCATCACATGCTAAACCTGTCCTACAGGGTAAAGTATTCCCTAAACTGAGGAAGAGGAGTAGTGCCGCCAGGCTTATCGACCAGGAAGCCAACGGCGAGGAGCAGTCGGCCGCCGACTACGTGTTTCGCATCGTCTACCCTGGATATCGATACGAAGCCAGTAAGTAACAGCGCAGGCGCCCACGAGACAGACGTAGCTGCTCGTAACCAAACGAACCTTGTTTTGTGGCGAACACTAATCTGATTAACGGCTACATGAATGTGTTTGTAAAGCACCCTGGTTTCTTTCCCACAATACTCTTGCAGAGCCATGCAGGGCACCGCTTTTCTAACTTTGTTCTCTGTTGTCCCACCGGTGCTAACAGTCACTATAAACTACCACCACACCACGGGCAGCCGCGCGCCATCGCTGGATGATGACGAGGAAGAGGAAGATAGGCTCCATGCTATGATCTCAATGATCTGCTCGCGGAACCTCACAGACCCTAATGTCATGAAAGGTTTTTATCACCTTAACACACCTACCCGACCCTGCTGCCCCACCCTCACCAAACCCTGCTGCCCACCCCGAGACCTCACCTCCGCTTCTCCTGCTCTTTCTTGCCTCCCATTATGTTGTCTCAGGCCCTCTCCCTCCACCTCCCAACCCCACCCGTTCCAGCTTCGTCTGCCTGTGTATGTTCTCCCCGACTCCGAGCCCAACAGTGTAGCATGGGCTAGGGATGGTTGTGTTAGCAACTAAACAAAACCAGCGAGCAGCGCTTAGAGCATTAACACATTTATGTGAGATCACGGTAGGATCGTCAGCAGTACACTGCACCATAGACGTGGACGAGGGAGTTTCTCAATGGAAATCGCCACAGATTAACAAATAGATGGAAGAATCTTTTGGTTGTTTGTCTTGTGTTGATGATGAGTTCTGGTTGGTGGAAGCTGCAGACTTAAATATGATTTTCATTTTAGGCCGCAACATCGTCTCAAACAAGCTAAAGGTCTTCTACTGCCTCCATCGAGGTTCTGGTTGAGTGCACTAATCAATATTTCATATGCATCATGTAAAATGAAAGGTGTGCTTATCATTTCCAGCCTACAGAAAATTAGCCCCACATTAGAACCATGAACAGAACTCTTCAGACTCGTCTAAGTAAGAGGCTTTTGTTGTTGTTTGCTCTTGTACGAAACACTAAATTCTTCCTTCATTGACTTTGTGTCCAGCTGCACCACATGAGTTAGTAGCTTCTGGGTAGTAGCTCCTTCTCTCACCCCACCAATCACAGCAGATGGCCCCGCCCCTCCCTGAGCCTGGTTCTGCCGGAGGTTTCTTCCTGTTAAAAGGGAGTTTTTCCTTCCCACTGTCGCCAAAGTGCTGCTCATAGGGGGTCATATGATTGTTGGGTTTTCTCTGTATCTATGAAGCGCCTTGAGGCGACTTTTGTTGTGATTTGGCGCTATATAAATAAAATTGAATTGGATTGAATTGGGAGTTTTTAGGGCACTGTGTCAGAAAAAGAAGAAAAGTACCTTCCAAAAATGTGCACCTGTTTGCAGTTAGCCTGTTGGTTATTTGGTCCAGAGTTTGTGTAGCTGACTGACCGTAGTGACTGCCTCATGACACATCCATTAGACAATGGTAGCATATCCACTACACAACCCAATAAAAGCTCGCTAACGTCCCTCAGAGTGACAGCTCGAACTCAGCTGCTGTGGCTTCTTTGCTGCAGCTGAGCCGTCAGCAGGGTTATGAAGCACTGCTAAGTTGTAGGTATTCATCAAAATGTGAAGCAGCTAATGTTCGTAATGTAACTATGTTACAAGTACTCTGACACGCTTCTTTGTTAAAAAGTTTAAAAATGCTACATTGTAAAATGTCTTGAAACAAAACAGAGTGTCAGTGATTTTTGTTGTGGTCAAACCATTTTCCCCAGTAAACATTCAGACGTGGCTGCCCTGCTGGTAATATGGTGAGGTAACACACGAAGGATTTTTCAGTTAAACAGACTTTTTTAACTTTGTGTAAGCAAAATGAGAATAAAAGAGTAATTTAAAAAATTGCTATGACAACACAGTTTCTGGGGAGCTCCGCACAGTGAGCAGCTCAGGGCTTTTTTAGGATACTTGTAGAGTCGGATACAGCAGCATCTCAGCTTATCTCAGGTTATCTGTTCAAACCACAGCATTCACTTCTAAATAGTGAAAGTAGTTTCTGTTCTAGCTGGAAGTTGGACGTTAAGAACACGCTGCGGTCACGCGTCTGGTTAATACTGCAGCAGCCGATAACACCCTCTCCCCGCCGCCTTCTGTTCCTGATTTCACTCTTTCTGTTTTCTCTCCATCTTTCCAGCGCTCAGTGACACAGATAAATCCACTTCTTACACAAACCTGTGAAAGACAGGAAACGCGCTGTCTGATGAGCAGACTTGTTTTATAGTCACTGCAAATGTCTTTCAGCAGGTTTCAACACAGATCCAAACTTTCCCAGGTGTCCTCGCCTAGCCCTAGGGGCTGCTTTGCATTCTGGGATGCTCCTTAGAGTTAAAAAAAAGGGTTTATCTGTTGAAGCATGCCCGAGTCCTGTTGGGTTTTCTCTGTCGTGGCTCTTTCTTTTTGCACTCTGTTTCCTTTTGGCTCTTTCTTTTGTCACTTGCGACATGCTTGACAGTGTTTGCATGTCTGCGCCTGTTTGCTTTTAGAGAACGACTGTGTGTTTCTGCATATCTGTGATGGACTTTCTCACAGTCTCCTCTGTTTGTTTTTGATTTCTCTCTCCTCTCCAGTTTCTTCTTCTCTGTTCGTGCAGTCATTCGCTGCAATGCTGTTCACTGTAATTCTTCACTAACCCCACCACCCCACCCTCCCCTCGCCCCGTCCTCCACCCCTCTCATTATGGTCCTGTGGGGTTCCGCAGTAGTTGAGACGTGGAGTCCTGGTGTGAGCGGGGTTGCGTTACTGAGCCCAAAACCAGTTGTCGATCACGTCTAGTCCCAAAGTAAATCAGGAGGGGCCGATGTCGGTCTTGCTCCGGCACAATTTCTCTTTGCTTTTTTGCTTTTTTCGGTTCTGAAACTGACTTTTTTATGGGGGGGGGTTATCGAACGACCAAAGCACAGCTTCATATTCATGACAGGTCATCAGCTCCAACCTGAAGAATTAAGGTGAAGAGCATTTGTTAATGTTTTCTGATTTCTTCCCTCCCCTGTGTGTGCCCTGTTCCTGGTGTCCATTTGTTTTGGTTGTTTCGAGAGGATTTCTTTTGACGTCTCTTGTCTTGTTCTGGTTTTATGCATCCTGCACGGCCTGAGCGTGAGCCTCGCCCTCTCTACTGTCAGTTCCTCCTGTCTTCTGCTCTCCCGTTCATCTGGAGCATCGTCCCGAGCTCCGCTGTCTCTCTTGCCTCCTCTCTGAATGAACTGAACCGGCATCCTCTCAGCCTGTTTGTCCCACGGCACTGTTCCCGCTTCCCAAAACCATCCCCTTCCACTTTTGGTTTCCTTTGTTTTTCGAGCTCTCATATTTAACACGAGTCTAAAACTCTCCATCTCCTCATTTCTTAATATTGTGATGATGTATTTATGGTTGAGCTGAGGGACTAATGTCATAATATGTAAGGCTTAGCCTTTCACAGTAGGAGAGGCGTGTCGGGAAAAGAAAAGTGTCTCCGAGCACTGAAACCTCTCTGTCTTCTCGTTTTCCTTCTCTGGCTTAGACCACGGGGACATGATGGACACGCAGGGCTTTGGAGGCAGCCCGTCGTCATGGCAACAGGCTGAAGTCACCACTCACGAGTCCCTGTGCCAGTCCTGCTCCACCGCTGGCAGCAACCTGTCCTTTGACTACGCGTCTGGCTGTACCTGCATACACGACCCGTCAGATATTCACACGTATGCATCAAAGCAGAAGCTGCACTCGATTTGTTTAAGCTACCTGCAGCGTTGCATTAGCTTACAGGAGTTGTATAGACATTGTATAGATTTGAGAAAATCACATCTTGTAAATGTAAGAAAACATTGAATTTAACCAAAGTTTCTAATTCTATAGTTAAATATTGTTGTATTTAAGAGCCACGTGAAACCAGTACACATCAAGAGTAAAAGAGATGTTTAAATATTAAAATATTCTTGAAGCCTTTATTTATTTAGTGTTGATGTGATGCCACACTGAAGATATACACAGTGTACATGAGGTAGGACGAACGGGCCAAGAGCAGAGCTTTACTGTCTGTGGAAATAATCAGCTGAACACACAGAAAAGTACCAGCGATTTGAGACGGCCGTGGCTTCTTAGCTGTAACACAGTGAGAGATTGTACTGAACGGGGATCTTCACAGGTTATCTGTGCACTGAGAAACCACAGGCACGCACAGATCGATGAGACGGATCCATCTTCTGGAAACGTGTGACGATAACAAATGATTTCTTTTGTTTTCTCCAGTATTCCTCTGAAGATGCTCTGCCAGAACATGAAGCGGCAGATAGTCTCCAGAGCCTTCTATGGATGTAAGCACACTTTATTCTTGCGCTTTGTTTCCAGTGTGATCTGTGGCCAGAGCCTCGTATCGTATGTTCCACCTGGACTTTACGGAGATTTCAGTGAAATTACAGTGATCTTAAATGAACAGTTTCATATATTCAGTATGTTTGTGATGTAATGAAGAATTCATAAATACCGCCTGTAACAAATACGAGATTAGATTTAGTGTCACACATAATAAGTTGATTTATTGCAGCAGTGTGAGAACCTGCTGACCTGTGCGACCCTTTGAGTTACCTGAACTAATTCTGCGCTTGCTTTTTGTCCTTATGCACCATCTGCATCTCTTATGTAATAAATCTGATGTGGTTACATATTCTTTTACATATTTTTCTATATATTCTTCGAGGGTTTCGTTTGTTTCAGACCATCAATGTTACATTAGACAAAAAGTTTCAGTCACAGTTTTAAATGATTCATTAAGTTTTCAAACCTTTAAGGCCTCGTGTGAAGAGATGAGTGATTCGTCCACGGTGATGACGACTCATTGCCGGTTATTGCAAACACATGATTGTGCGGCACAATCAGTTCGTGGGTCTAACTCAGTTCACTTCTATTTATATAACACCAAATGAAAAACAGTTTGGATAACTTTTCCCTTAATGAATGAAATGATCATTTCAAAACTGCATTTTGTATTTACTCTGGTTATTAATGCCTAACCTTAAAACTTAGCTTGATGATATAAAACATGCACGTGTGGCAAATATGAAAAAAACGATGAAATCTGTTTCAAAGACTGATTGGAGCTAAACGTCGTCTCATCCTGACCCTACTGTTGTGCACATGTGCCCTTCAGGGCTGGCATACTGTCGACACCTGTCCACAGTGCGGACTCACCTGTCAGCTCTGGTCAACCACAACATCGTCCCCCAGACAGACCCTGCGAGGCATCCGGGGGCCTCAGCAAAGAGGTGTGGAGCAAGTACCAGAAGACTGCAAGGTGGGTGCAGCCATTAATCCTGCAGACCCTGCAACATAACGAGACTGCCGTCCTCCTCAGTCTGACACCCCCCACCTCTCACACACAATGGCAAATTTAAACCAGACACCACAGCAAATTGCCAAGTCATCATCTTGTCAGGGATATTGATCAGCACTGACAGACACAGTAAGTTACGGCTGGTTTGTGCTGTGCAGGCACTCTGTGAGTTGTATTTACAGTAATAGTGAGGTCATCTGATCCACACGGTGAGAAACGCTGCTTCAGAGAATAATGAGGAGCAAAGCAAAGCAAAGGATGATGGAGAATTAGCACAGGACGTATCTGCTGTGCTGCATAAGAAACAACTGAGTTACTGCGTGGGAGGAGCTGCACTCATGCTTAACTAGCAGTTTATTTATCAGGGACAAGTACAGGAAAAAGTCCAGTTCATGTGCATATAGTTCCTGACACCAGCCCCTTGATTGGTTTAAAAAGTGCCCGCCATGAAGAAGAAGGTCCTAGGTTTGAATCCACCATGTGCCGGGGCTTTCTGTGCGGAGTTTGCATGTTCTGCTCGTGTCTCCTCCCACAGTCCAAACACACGCAGTTAGTGGGGTTAACGGGTGATTCTTGAGTGCCTGTGGGTGTGAATGTGAACGGAAGGAAATCGTGTCTCGCAGGCGCAGTGGGCTGTACTTCAAGTCAGATGCATAAAGCATGAAAAAGGCCAAGCTGAATAACTGTGTAAACTATCATAAACTTTGTTGCTCTTAGTTGCAGATTACTAATTCATGAAACTTCTTGCCTAGAATCTACATTTTGTTTAATCTGAGCGTTGGGCTCTGTGGAAACCCAGAACCTACTAATGCCTGTGGTGATTTGCACACAGGCTCGGTTTAATGCATCCTTCCCAAGGATACTTAGACATGCAGACTGGGTTAGTTTGGGATTCAACCGCTGACCCGGTCGACCTCCTGAGCGATGGAAAAAATCCCTAATAATTCCTCCCACCGGGATCTCAGTAACACATTCCAGAGCTTCAAGCACGGTCTGCTTTATCTAACTCCCAGTGAACTTCAGAGGTGCAATAACAAGTAATAGATAAGAAGCTAAAAAGCTATGAAGACAACAGGAAAGGATACAAACAGCTGGAACAATATGATGAACAGTCCTGTCGGCGCTGACTCTTTCCTGAATGCACCCCGTTACACATGACAGCTGTATGCAGTGACACCTTTCAGTGAACAATAGTGTGTTTGTGTCCTGAACAGACGTGAACACGACTACATCGACTCGCCCGCATTGTCCTGCTGGCCCGAACAGCTACTAGAGCATCAAACGCAGCTTAATCCTCAGCTAAAACAGAGCCCAAGCAAATGCACTGGATGTCATTAAACTGTTAACAGCTGGAAATTGATTTTTAAATAAATTAATGAAATATTAAACTGTTCTGAAAGATTTTTACCAAACATGGTCGAGAAGCTATGAAGTCTGAGACGAGGACAAAAGGCTAACTATAATGATCCCAGCGATACCCTTTCATCACTGCAGCTGAAAGTCCTTCACTCCTGCGTGGACAGATGTGAGGCTCTTCTAAGCAAAAGTCTTTCACTTATTGGATTTAAGTTCAAATCCCATGTTAGCTCTGCTTAAGCCAGCTGCATGTGTGAAGCTGCATGTGTCTTCTGAGCAGAGCCAGGAGGAGGAGAAAGCTCTGAAACTGAGTAGTGCAGTTAGAGCGGTCTGAAGCTGGCGTTTGCAGACCCCAGTGTGTGACTGTGTCCGTGCTCGGTGTGAGATCCACCATTAAAACGCAGCAGTTTCAGAGCAGCGTGTTCCTGCACGGTGCTGTAAACCAGCCATTATTACCTGTTGTGTTTGTAAAGCACAGAGTCAGTTATTAACACAAAGCCAAAGCTGAACTTCGTGAGCCTCGGTTTCCTCATCCTGCACTCATATCATTCCACCTGCTGATGGAGCATATTAATTGAAAGTGGAGGATGGTGCACTGCTCCTGCTGTCTCCACTCTCTCCTTCGCTCTAATGAAAAGTTAATGAGTTTCAGTGAAATGAAGTCTCCGTGTGATACCATCGCAGCTATTAAGCAGCCGCCGTAATCATTCATCAGCTCCAACAAAGTCATCATTACTAATTTACACTCTATTCATATCTGTGTCGTTTATCTTCCGCTCTAATCTACGTCTACTCCCGTACGGAGCTCCATCACTCTTTCACTCCTTCCATATTGATGCACTTCCTCTTCCTCTCAGCCTTTTCTTGTCTATTATGTTTCCTCTTTTTGCCTACCTTCCTGACATGTGTGTGTGTGTTGGTGTGTGTGTGTGTGTGTGTGGTGTGTGTGTGTGTGTGTGTGTGTGTTGTGTGTGTGTGTGTGTGTGTGTGCAGAACTACAAGGAGCTGGAGCTGCTCCGGCTGGTTTATTACGGTGGAGTGCAGCACGAAATCAGAAAGAGGGTGGCCTTTCCTTCTGGGACACTAC